CATAGTGTTTTAAGTTATAGAATATTAAGAAGAGTGAACATTACCCAAGGACTTTGGATCCTTTTCTGGGGGAAAGTTGATACATTTTCAGTTCTTTTTTTTTTTTTTCCTTTTGAGACAGAGTCTCACCCTGTTGCCCAGGCTGGAGTACAGTGGCATGATCTTGGCTCACTGCAACCTCCGCCTCCCGGGTTCAAGCAATTCTCTTGCCTCAGCCTCCCAAGTTGCTGGGATTACAGGTGACTGCCACCACACCTGGCTAATTTTTGTATTTTTAGTAGAGACAGGGTTTCACCATGTTGGCCAGGCTGGTCTCGAACTCCTGACCTCAGGTGATCCACCCACCTCAGCCTCCCAAAGCCCTGGGATTGCAGGCCTGAACCAATGCAGCCAGCCATTGCGTTTTCAGTTCTATGGCAGATACTTGTATCATGTTAGGCAGAAGTATGACTTTGTTATTATCTTTATACGGAGATTAAGTATGGTTTTAAGGGGATGTGTATGGGTGCCAAGTTGACAAGGGATAGACTGATGATTAATTTTATGTGTCAACTTGACTAGGACATGATACGGAGTCATTGTGTTAAACACAAGTCTGAGTGTTGTTATAAAGGTATTTCTTAGATATGATTAACATTGAAATCAATAGACTTTGAGTAAAGCAGATTACCCTCCATAATGTGGGTGAGTTTCATCCAATCAGAGAAGGCTTAAGCAAAGACAGATTTCCTGAAAAAGAAGCACTTCTCAAAACTACAAGATGTTTCAAGCCACTTGCTATGCAAAATTAGGACTCAAGGCTGCAACATTCTTTTCCAGCCTGCTTACCTGCTCCACACATTTCAGATGTGCCAGCCCCCGCAATCATGGGGGCTTTGCTCATTGCAAAGGTTAGATGCTTGGAGGAAATCTGTCCATTGTCACAGAGCATATAGTGAAGGGTTAATTTGGAACTGAGAAGCAATAAGCTGATAACTGTTACAGGCACTTCGTCTCTCACTGTCTCATTCAGTCATGTACTGATGCTCTCTAGACAATACCTTCTAATTTCTGCACTTCTGCCTGGCTACTATTCCTCCTGCAAAACTATTTTTTGATGATGTCTGAGTTCATCACTCTGCAAAACTAAGTCATATGGCTCTTTGTATTTGAAAATGAAATCATCTAACTTCTAATTCTTATTTCATGTGAAATATGACACTGAGAGCAGTAATGTCAAAGAAAACTTTTTGTTTGTTGATGTCAGCAATTAATTAGAGCTGCCAAATACCACCACTCTTATCTGTATGTCAATTTCTGCTTGCCAAAACACTGCTTACAACAAAATTGGTCACATCTGGCAAACCACCTGTTGCCAGTGCTGTTTATCAGCCTGTTACTGTATTCTGGTCATACATTTATTTCCAAAAAATCATAAAGCTCCTCACCAGGCCCAGTGGCTCATGCCTGTAACCCCAGGAGTTCGAGAGGCCATGGCAAGATGATTGCTTGAGCCCAGGTTCAAAACCAGACTGGGCAACATAGGGAGACTCCTGTCTCTATAAAAAAATAAAATTAAAAAATTGCCCTGTAATCCAAGCACTTTGGAGGCCAAGGCAGGCAGGTCACCTGAGGTCGGGAGTTCAAGACCAATCTGACCAACATGGTGAAAACCCGTCTTTATAAAAAAAAAAAAAAAAAAAATTGCCAGGCATAGTGGTACATTCCTGTGATCACAGCTACTTAGGAGGCTGAGGCAGGAGGTCTGCTTGGGCCCAGGAGGTGGAGGCTGCAGTGAACCATGATCATGCCACTGCACTCCAGTCTGGGTGACAGAGCAACACCCTGTCTCAGAAAGAAACTATCCTGAATTAGAAACAGATCTGTGCTTAAAATGTTCTAAACGCACTGCAGAGCTTCTCAAACAGAGCACTTAATGTGTGCTCAACAAAGCATAAAACCTTCACACTTGAAAGCCAGAGGATGCAGGATCAGCATTTCCTGCACTCTATGGCTGAGTCACTTCAGTCACTTAGACCTGCCTGGCACTCCACCCCAAAAATATTCTTCAACTCGACAAATCCATAAAGGATGTACTTTCTGAACCCCAAATCCATACACAAGGGTGAGTAAACTTACGAAAACAAAGAGCTTGAATGTTTGCTCCTGCTCTGGAACTCTTGGACACATGGTTAGCATCCATGAAAAACCCCAGAGAAAGACCAACCTCTAAACCTGGGGCCAGTTTGGTCTCACAAAGGCTGAGGAGATCCCCGGATTTCTCTGTACCTGCCTACCCGCACCAGGAAAAACCGAATTGCAAGTGTGGGATTTCTACAAAACAGATGCTAAGCCCTCTAACTTCATCATCCTCATCCCTCCCAGATCACCTTTTATTTACTTATTTATTTATTTTGAGACGCAGTTTCGCTCTCGTTAGCCAGGCTGGAGTGCAGTGGTGCGATCTCGGCTCACCGCAACCTCCGCCTCCTGGGTTCAGGCAATTCTCCTGCCTCAGCCTCCTGAGTAGCTGGGATTACAGGCACGCACCACCATGCCCAGCTAATTTTTTGTATTTTTAGTAGAGACGGGGTTTCACCATGTTGACCAGGATGGTCTCGATCTCTTGACCTCGTGATCCACCCGCCTCGGCCTCCCAAAGTGCTAGGATTATAGGCATGGCCTGTGTCGGTACAAAAGGTTGGCACATCCGTATACCCATTAGTTCTCGAATAGGTGGGAGCATCCGCCCAGGTGTCTACGGAGGGCGCGGGAGGCTTTCTTCCTCAGTAACGCTGGCTCGTCCCGGACAGACCTTACTTTCTCTCTCTCTGTCCCCTACCCTGAGAGCTGAGTCAGAACCTCGCGCGGGGCTCCCTCTGGGAGCTCACAGGCCAGCGCAGCGCAGCGCAGCGAAAACGGAGACTGGCCGCGCCCCGCCTCCCGCGCCCCGCCTCCCGCGCCCCGCCTCCCGCGCCCCGCCTCCCGCGCCCCGCCTCCCGCGCCCCGCCTCCCGCGCCCCGCCCCGTGCTGGAGGAGCTGGCCCGGACCCTCGGCCTCCCCGCGCCATGGCCGCGCCCGGCCCGGTCACGCGGCAGGTTAGCGGCGGCACCGCCCCGGTCCCGGCCCCGAGCGGCCCCGAGCGCTGGCAGTCCCTGGCCGCCGCCGTGGCCGAGCTGCCGGTGCTGGACGCCCGCGGGCAGCGGGTGCCGTTCGGCGCGCTGTTCCGGGAGCGCCGCGCAGTGGTGGTGTTCGTGCGGGTGAGCGGGCGGCGGGGCGGGAGGGAGCGGGGGCCAGGCCAGGCTGCCGGGCCGCGGGCCGCGCCTCCTGCTTCTTGGGACGGGAACCGGAAGGCAGCCCGCCCAGCCGCGGCCGCTTCCAGCCAGCGCGGGGCAGGGCGAGGGCGAGGCCCGCTTCCCACGCGCCGGGCGCCCGGGCTGCCGGTCCCCGCCCCGCGGGCGTCGCCTCTACGCGGGTCGCGCACGGCGAAGTACGGGACTCCTCCGGGGCCCGAGGGCGCTGCGTTTCTAACTTGCCCTTTCTGCCGACTCGGATTCTAGCATTTCCTGTGTTACATCTGCAAGGAATACGTGGAGGATCTGGCCAGAATCCCCAAGAGTTTCTTACAAGTGAGTTTCCGAGCGTGGGCGGCACAGCGCAGGCTTCTGGCGACATTGCGAGCCCGGCGGGGGCGGACGCGGCTCCAGAGCGGCGCGGGCAACCCGGATAGCCCCTCCTCGCACCTCTCTCCACCCTCGCCCCTCCAAAGGGAGAGACGTCAGAGATCTATTTCTGCCCTAACTCACTGGGTGCTGCCTGCTGGTGAACGTACTAACAATTGTGGTGTTGCCTGGTAACCTGGTGCCTGTTCTCAAATGTCGACTGATAATGCCCTAAATCAAATGCTGGAAATGGTTATTATTTCCCTTTATTTTTGTTCTACTCCAAAGAGCTGCTTGGTATGGGAAAATACTGATAAATCGTAAAGGTGCAAATTTTTATGTTATTAGACTGCAAGTTCCGTGTCTCTAAGACAACCACAGACGTGTTTGTCTTCAGGGACAGATAGATTTATGCCCAAGTGGGCTTTTTGAGTGAAGGCATTGGTCAGCCTTTATAAAACACACGTTTTTTCAGCAGACTTTATCAATTAGGATGTGAAGAAAACATTGTTAATTAAATAACTATACTACAGAGTTACTTAAAAAACATATGTCTTTGGGAAGAATATAAGGAAGTATTGACTATATCATTTGGAAAGCAATGTTTTGACTCTTCCCCTGCATATCCTTTTTTTCTCTTTTTTAAAATTGACATATAATTGTATATGTTTATGACATACAGTGTGATATTTTGATATGCATTTACCTTGTGGAATGATTAAATCGAGATAACTAATATATCCATCATGTCAGATAGTTATTTTGTGGTGAGAACACGTAAAAACTAGTCTTTTAGCAATTTTAAGTATACAATATATTATTAACTATAGTTGTCATGCTGCGCAGTAGATCTCTAAAAGTTCTTCCTCTTTAACTGAAATTCTGTACCCTTTGAACATCTCCCTATTTCTCATTCCTGAATAATGAGTCTTCTGGTAACCATCATCCTCCTTTCTTCGATTCCATATCTAAGTGAGACCGTGCCGTGTTTTCCTTCCTGTGTCTGGCTTATTTCACTTAGATGATGTCTTCTAGGTGCATCCAGTGTTGTCACAAATAACAGAAAAATGTCTTTTCTTTTTTATGACCAAATAATATTACATTGTATTATATTGTGCTACCCCATTTTCTTTGTATTTATCCGTTGTTGAACACTGAGGTTGCTTCTATATCTTGGCTTTTATGAATAATGCTGTAATAAAACATGGGAGTGGAGATACCTCTTCAACATACTGACTTAATTTCCTTTGGATAAATGCCCAGTAGTGGGATTGCTGGATCATATTTTGGTTCTGTTTTTAATTTTTATAGTAACTTCCCGACTGTTTTCCATAATGGCACAGTTTATATTCCTAACAACAGTGTACAAAAGTTCCTTTTTCTCCACATCCTCACCAACACTTATCTTGGATCTTTTTTTTCTTTTTTTCTTTTTGTTGAGACGGAGTTTCACTCTTGCTACCCAGGCTGGAGTACAATGGCGCGATCTCCGCCTCCTGGGTTCAGGCAATTCTCCTGCCTCAACCTCCTGAGTAGCTGGGATTACAGGCACGCACCACCATGCCCAGCTAATGTTTTTTGTATTTTTAGTAGGGACGGGCTTTCACCATGTTGACCAGGATGGTCTCGATCTGTTGACCTCGTGATCCACCCGCCTCAGCCTCCCAAAGTGCCCGGCTTATCTTGGATCTTATTGATGGCCATTTAACAAGTGTGAAGTGATAACCTCATTGTAGTTTTAATTTGTATTTCCCTGATGACTACTGATTTTGAGCATCTTTTCATGTATCTCTTGGCCATTTGTTGTCTTTTGAGAACTATCTATTCATATCCTTTGTCCATTAAGACAGAGTCTCCCTCTACCCCTCAGGCTAGAGTGCAGTGGCACAATCTCGGCTCACTGCAACCTCAGCCTCCTGGGTTCAAGTGATTCTCCTGCCTCAGTCTCCCAAGTAGCTGGGATTACAGACATGTACCACCATGTCCAGCTTATTTGTGTATTTTCAGTAGGGATGGGGTTTCGCCATGCTGGTCAGGCTGGTCTCAAATGCCCGACCTCAGTTGATCCACCTGCCTCTGCCTCCCAAAGGGAAAGGATTACAGACATTAGCCACCATGCCTGGCCTTTTGTCCATTTTTTAATCAGGCTGTTGATTCTTGCTAAGTTGAGTTTCTTTTGTATTTTGGATATTTGCCCCTTATCAGATGTATAGTTTGCAGATATTTTCTCTCAATCTGTGAGTCGTCTCTTCTCTGTTCATTGTTTCTTTGTCTGTGCAGAAGCTTTTGTTTGATATAGTCCCATTTGTCTATTTCTGCTTTTGTTGCCTGTATTTTTGAGGTCATATTCCAGAAATCATTGTTTGAATCCACATCATGGCCGGG